GTTTAGACATAGGGGTTGATCCAATGGAACAAAATGGAGATTTTGCAGAATCTCCATTTCTCTCCAACGGGGAAAACCGTCGGAAGTTTAGTTGGCCTAGGGGCGTTGGGATATCCATTAGAGTTGTGCCGATGATACCACGAGGGTTTGGCAGCCATATAACCCCCATGCCCAATCTTAGTGGTAGGTGGTGGAATCTCAGCATTTGGTTGCGTGCGGCATACAGAGTTCTCCGCAAGTATATCATCCCGGGGACCACTGCAATGTCGTAGGGTGATGTTCCATGATGCAACTACGCAAAGTAGGGGGAGTTCCGAGTTAGGGATTGGTCCAATGGAGCAAAACAGAGGTTCTACAGAATCTCGGTTTCTCTCCGTTGTGCAAAACCGTCGGGAGTTTAGTGGGCTGAGGGGGTTGTGATATCTATTAGAGTTGTGCAGACAATAACGTGAGGGTTTGGCAGATATATAACCCCCACCTGGTCTTAGTGGTGAGGTGCTGGAATTTCGACATTTGATCGCGTGCGACACACAGGGTTCTTCCAGTGTATCGGCTCGCGGACAACCGCAATGTCTTAGGGTGATGTCCCACGATGCCACAGTGCAAAGCTGGGGCGGTTCAGACCAATGGATCGATCCGACGAAGCAAAACGGAGGTTCTGCAGAATCTCCGTTTCTCTCTATTAGGCAAAACCGTTGGGAGTTTAGTGGTCCAAGCGACGTCGGGATGTCCATTAAGGTTGTGCTAACGATACCGTGGTGGTTTGGCAGACATATAACCCTCCGCACGGTTTTAATGGTTGGGTGTTGGAATCCGGACATTTGGTCTCGTGCGGTAGACAGGGTCCTCCCGGAGTGTATCGGCCCGGGGACCACAACAATGTTGTAGGGTGATGTCCCTTGTTGCCACGGTGTAAAGTGGGGGCGGTTTAGACATACGGATTGGTCTGACGAAGCAAAATGGCGGTTCTGCAGAATCTCTGTTTCTCTTCGTCGGGCAAAACTGTCGGGAGTTTAATGGGCCCAGGGGTGTTGGGATATCCAGTAGAGTTGTGTCGACAATACTGTGAGGGTTTGGCGGCCATATAACCTCTATCCGATTTTAGTGGTAGGTGGTGGAATCCCGACATTTGGTTGTGTGCAACATACAGGGTTCTCTCAAAGTGTATCGGCCTAGGGACCACCACAATATCGTAGGGTGATGTCTCACGATGCCACGGTGCAAAGTTGAGGCAGTTCAGGCCTTGGGATTTTTTCGACGAAGCAAAACAAAGGTTCCACAGAATCTCTGATTCTCTCCGTCGGGGGTTTAGTGGGTTGAACTGCGTTGGGGTATCAACTAGAGTTGTGCTAACGATACCATGGGTAGACCTGGCAAAAAGTTGACCTAACCCGCGAACCCAACCCAACCCAACCTGAAAAAACAGGGTTAGGGTCTCATATTTAGCTACCGGAATGTGAAAATGACCTGATATGACCAAACTCGAAAAAAAAATGGGTTGGGTCATGGCTCAACCCACTGACTCGATTGTCAAGTCTAATTGGGATATTTATGCACTGTTAGAAGTTTCCACTCTTTAATCTTTACTTTTTATTGTTTACTCTTTAAATTGTTAACTGTTCAAGTTTTTTATTTTATATTTGGAATTTGAAGCTTAACTCTTTTAATTTTGACACTTTTCATGTAATTTTTCTTTATTTTTTAAAATTCAATTATTTTTTTGGGATGACCCGAATTGACCCATGGGTCCAACCTAACCCGAACATTTAGGGTTAGAGTCTAGCATTTTGACAACCCGACCCGACCCGACCCACTCAACCTAATTACCAGGTCTAACCATGGGGGTTTGGCAGCCATGTAACACCCCTGCCTGACCACAATGGTAGGGTCTTGGAATCCCAACATTTGATCGCGTGCGGCACACAGAGTCCTCCCAGAGAGTATTGGCCCGGGGACCACAACATTGTTGTAGGGTGATGTCCAACGATGCCACGGTGCAAAGCAGGGACAGTTCAGACATAAGGGTTGATCTGACAGAGCAAAACAGAGGTTCTGCAGAATCTCCGTTTCTCTCCATCGGGGAAATCGTCTAAAGTTTAGTGGGCCTAGGGGCGTTGGGGTATCCATTAAAGTTGTGCCAACGAGACCATGGGGGTTTGGCGGCCATATAACCCCCATGTCCGGTCTTAGTGGTAGGTGGTGGAATCCTGACATTTGGTTATGTACGACATACAGAGTTCTCCCAAAGTGTATCGGCCCGGGGATCACTGCAACATCGTAAGGTAATGTCACAAAATTCCACCGTGCCAAGCGGGGGCGGTTCAGAAGTCGCTTGCAGCATACAATGTTCTCCCGAAGTGTATGGGCTCAGGGACCACCACAACACTGTAGAGTGATATTCCATGATGCCACGATGCAAAGCGGCAGCAGTTCAGAATTAGGGATTGGTCCGACGGAGCAAAACAGAGGTTCTGTAGAATCTCAGTTTCTCTCCATTGGGCAAAACTGTCGGGAGTTTAGTGCACCGAGGGGGGTTGGGATATCTATTATAGTTGTGCGAACAATACCATAGGGGTTTGGTGGATATATAACCCCCACCTAGTCTTAGTGGTATGGTGCTGGAATTCCAACATTTGGTCGTGTGTGGCACACAGGGTTCTCCCATAGTGTATTGGCTAGTGGACCACTGCAATGTCGTAGGGTGATGTTCCACAATGCCACAGTTCAAAGCTAGGGCGGTTTAGACCTATGGATCGATCCGATGGAGCAAAATGGAGGTTCTACAGAATCTCCGTTTCTCTCCATCGGTCAAAACCGTTGGGAGTTTAGTGGGTCATGCAGCGTCGGGATGTGCCATTAGGGTTGTGCTAACGATACCATGGTTGGTTTGGCAGACATATAACCCCCCACTCGGTTTTAGTGGTTGGGTGCTAGAATCCTGACATTTGGTCGCGTGCGGTAAACAGGGTCCTCCCGGAGTGTATCGGCCTAGTGACCACAACAATGTTGTAGGGCGATGTCCAATGATGCCACAGTGCAAAGCGGGAGCGGTTCAGACATAGGGATTAGTCCGACGGAGCAAAACGGAGATTCCGTTTCTCTCTATTGGGCAAAACTGTCAGGAGTTTAGTGGGCCCAGGGGCATTGGGATATCCATTAGAGTTGTGCTGACGATACTATGGGGGTTTGGCGGCCATATAACCCCCTACCCGGTCTTTGTGGTAGGTGGTGGAATCCCAACATTTAGTTGCGTGCAGCATATAGGGTTCTCCCAAAGTGTATCGACCCGGGGACCACCGCAATGTCATAGGGTGATGTCCCACGATGCCACGGTGCAAAGCGGGGGCAGTTCAGACCTTGGGATTGTTCCGGCGGAGCAAAACGGAGGTTCCATAGAATCTTCGTTTCTCTCCGTTGGTAGTTTAGTGGGTCGACTGGCATTGGGGTATCAATTAGAGTTGCGTCGACAATACCATGGGGGTTTGGCGGCCATATAACACCCCCGCCCGACCTTTATGGTTGGTGGTGGAATCCCGACATTTGGTCGCGTGCGGCACACTGGGTCCTCTCGAAGTGTATTGGCATGGGGACCGCACCAATGTTGTAGGGTGATGTCCCACGATGCCACGGTGCAAAGCGGGGGTGGTTCAAACCTAGGGATTAGTCCAACGGAGCAAAGCGTAGGTTTAGCTGAATCTCCGTTTCTCTCCGTCAGGCAAGACTGTTAGGAGTTTAGTTGGCCAAGCGGTGTAGAGATATTAGGGTTGTGCTGACGATATCGTGGAAGTTTGACGGAATCCCGACATTTGGTCACATGTGGCACATAGGATCCTCCCGCCCAGTTTAAGTGTCGATAGGGTGGAATTTGGATATTTGGTCAAGTGTGTTGCGTTGGAATATTTAGTGTAAATAATTTTCTCTAAGAATTAAATTATAATAATTATTATCAGTTTTAGAAAACTAATATATTATAAGAATTTATTAAACGAATTTTCAAAAAATAATTTAACAAAATTAAGCTCATTTCAGAAAACTACGATTAAATTATTTACATTATAATTAAATTAGTTAGTCATTTACAAGAACAATAATCATTAATTTATTCTTTAGATTATATAATTACAGTAATCATTAGTAATTTTTCAGATTAGTTTTCAATTTTTTTTTTTAAAAATATTTTTTCGGATATTTATTCAATTAATTTTCGAAAATTGTTTAATTGTGATATTTTATTGCAATACATAATTTTCATAAAATTATTTTCAGAAAAAAATTGTTCTAATTATGTTGTTGGAATATTTAATTTGTGGAAAATTAATTTCCTTAATATTTAATTAACTCTAATAATTAATTTCCTGAAAATTAAATATAAAAAATTGTACTTAAAAGATGATGTTATAATAAATATTCCATTAATTAACTGTTATTTTTTACATTTTTTTCTACTAATTATTAGTAAATTAACATATAATTTTAGTAATAATTTACCATTAATTACCTATTAAGTTATACTTAACTCAATATTCATTAACAACTATTAGTGAAATTTAATAATTTATCATTGTTAACAGTAATAAATCGAAATAAAATTTCTATTAATTAATAATATGTAACATTAATTAACATGTACGCGGGTCGGGCTGTATGATATGCAAATGATCCGATCCACATGTTTCATCTTCTTGACCCAATCAGGACGTAACTCCGATCAAGACATATTCTTCATGCCGGTGTCGATCTCTCGAAGACGAGTGCGTTGAGGCAGTTTTGTCGATTCGGACGCAACTCCGATCAAGACGTATGAAGTGTGGTGCGGTGTCGGTAGCCTTTTGGTCAGGACGCAATTCCGGGGAAGAAGAAGAGGAAGACGAGGGCCTCTCAAGTCTCAACGCAGTCGGTATCCGTAGGGGCATTTTCGTAAAAAATGTGTGACATATGTACGGGGTGGAGTTGAAAATAAAAAGTGATTTATAACCGGATTTGGTGCCTATTTCAGTTTTCCTAGAAGGTTAAATTGCAAATTCGATTTCTGAGGTGGGGAGATCGATAAAACCCCCGTCTCGGTCTTGTGGTTGGTCCCGGTCTTACGGTGAGTCCCATGCATGATGTTCGGATACAGATCATGGAACTTGTTGGGAGGGATTTTTGTTGGTAGGGATATCTGGATTTGCATATGAAAAAATTGCTGGAACTCCTGAACCTCCTAGTCTCGCCTGTTTCGGATCTTGGCTTCTCGCTGCTATCTCTCGATTCCCTTGGGGATTGCTCCAACTCTAGTGTTTTCACCTGATCTCCTGCGAATTAAGTTAGTCAGATCTTGGAATTCAGGTTTTAGATCGGCGTCTTGGCAATCTCTGTATCTGATTCTCATTCGTTCATTGATTTCTGAAAAATGCCGTCGGTTTATGGAGCTCGATTAACGTCTTTTGACGATTCAGAGAAGGAGAGCGAGTATGGATACGTTCGCAAGGTATGTACGATCGGGTTTTGATCTGTTTTGCTCTTGGTGCGTTTCTAGTCTTTAAGGTTGAGTTTGGGCGAATTGGATTGGGTTTTAGATTCTTTTCTGCTTATTTGGACCGTTTTATGTGTATTGGCTGCCAATTTGGGTAACTTGGGACGCCGCATTATAGCTCGTATTGATGGTTGCTGCTGCTTGTTAGTAGTGATAGTGGTCTGTTTCGTATATTGGAGACAGAGACATCTAGATTTTTTTGAATTGTTCTGTTTAAGATCTCTTTACTATAATAAGCGCCTTTTTTCTTCTTGTTCTTCTGTTAGATTGATTCTCGGACTGGTAAATTCAGTAGAAATATGAACTTTTAGTAACCTTAATGAATGATGATCTCGGGAGGGACGTAGGATTATTAAGTGCTGCCTTAGTGCAGTCCATTGTTTTTCGGTTAAGTGATTGGTCGAATAAGCTATTCTAAGTGAATATCCTTGAATTGTACCCTTTAGGCCAGGGATAATGAGCTTTTGAAAATGTCAACTTCTTTTTCTTATTATGTACTGGACTGAAAGATGCTAAATGTTTAAATGGCTTTCCAAGTAGATCTATTTTAGCTTTCCGATTAAGCTAAATAAAGATTACCCTTTTCCTTTATAATTCCAATTATATTGTTCTTCACCATTTCTAACGTTAATTTGTAAGCTCCTATTTGCTGGAAGATGGGCTGAAAAGTTACTTGTGATTAAAAAGAAGAACGGAGATCCAAATAGCAAGATTTTGCAATTGCACTTGCATATTCCTTTTTAGATAGTTTTCTGGTTTTTCCCAATGTTTGTTTGTGGGTACCACTATTAATTGTGGTTTGCAAAGCACCAACTTTAATTTACTGATCTATTAATTTTTTTTATTCTTTGGCTATCTTCTCCTTGACAACTTATATGACAGAATTGAGGTGTTTTGTTATTTCATTAAATGAAAAGAGGTTCAAAATTGATATTCATATGGACATGTTTTAATATCGATGAGGATTCACAGAAAAGTTAAAATTTTCGCACCTCTGTTAAGTCCTCTCTCCTTTTTGGTTTTGCCTATGGTATGTCAAGTGCCATCCATGTGTGGAAGAAGGCTGTGGTCATCCCAATCTCAGCCAGGCATTTTCAACTATAGGCCTAAGAATAGCTCATATGCTGGTTATTGATTGTTTAAGACTTGGTTTGCTCGAGGCCTGACCCGGACCCAATTCAGATTCCTTAGAATGGTTAGGTTGACATGGAGGCATATAATAATATGAGCCTCGAGCCTCGAGGTTTAGGCTGAAACCTGCCCATTGCCAGCTTGTTAGGACCTTCATGACGATGGAAGCTTTTGATGATTGAAGAACTTGTGTAGTGTATCAATGCCTTTGATAGATAGATTTTTGGCCCTTAGATATACTGCTCTATTCTAATCAATGCAATGAGTGAGTATAATTGTTTAGGCTTAACAATCATTTGATATATTTTCATCCAATCTTGATGATTTATAAGTCACATTCAATTAAAAAAACATATCAATCTTGGGCATTCTTTGGCACTGTAAAATCATAGTACTTAAGAAAAGGATGAAAATATCACGACCTTTCCACTTGAAAACCAATCATTTCCAGGTTTCAGAGTTAAGAGGGAGTAACTTCAGATTCTTGTGTTATGAAAGCATTTAATTATTGGTTTGAATGTATGATATGTTCAGAATTTATTTGTTTGCTATTCTTTTTAGTGACCCTTCTTGCCAATATAGAGGTGTTCTTTTTCATGCTGATAAAAAAAATAGAGGTGTTCTCCAATGTAATTTGTTTTTCTTGTTGCCAGTTCCAAAAACAAAACAAAAGCAGCTGATTTGAAAACAAATTGGTTCTTAAAACAAAAACACGGAAAACTTGTTCTTGGTTATGTGTGCTGTTTTTTGTTTCCAAATTTGAAGCCAAAAACATTCTCTTGAATATCTGGTGTAAAGAGTATGTTTTCATCTGGTTATTAAATATAATGCTCCATAAACAATATAATATCTATGATATATATATTTTTTGTTTTAAAAACTATCATTTTGATGGTTTCAAAAACATGTATTGTTTTTTTTTTTTGGAACAAAACAACTTGTTTTTTGCTTTCCAAAACAAAAACACAGTTCAAGAACACATTTTTGTCTTGTTGTTGATGTGGCAATTCCAAAAACAAATGAAAATAAAAGCATTCATGTTGTAGAACACCTCCTCAATTTAAAAAATTTCCATAGTTAACTCAGTGATTTAAAAGGCACACTTCAGGTGTGTCTAGGTACAAAAATGAGTGCACTTCAAGGTATATGTCTTGCTCCCAGGTGCAACCCCTTTGAAAAGGCGTGCACGCCTAGTGCACTTTGCACTTCAGCCCATGTGTACGAACTTTGCATAGTGGCTGGGGTGGGGGCTCCAGCCCAAACCTCTCAACCAAGCCTCTTGAGGCAAGCCCAAACAAGTCCATCTGAGGGTCCTAAAACTTTGGCCCATATATAAAGAGATTGGTCTTGTGATTTTAGTTGCAGTTCATCTTAAAATACAACCCCATTTTTTGCTAGTGTTGTTCTCTCATCCTTTACAAGCCATTTTTCATCAAACAACATTTGATTTCTAATCCTGAATTTTTTTTTGAAGGATAAAAAAAAAATCAGGATTAGAAATCAAATATGCGGGCCAGAAATTTAGGACCCCTGCATGGACTTGTTTGGGCTTGTCTCAAGTGGCCTTTACATGGGTGGTGATGTAGGACCAACTCAGTTCTAGTCCTTAGAGAATGTTGAAGTCTTCTTGATCAGAATTTTATGGTTGTTGATGGCTGTAATGACTTCTTGAAGGAATAAGAGAGAAAATAGGGAGAGAAAGAAGAGAAAAAATACCTGGAATCACTCACAGGGTGCCTAGAATCACTCTAGGGCATGGGAATCACTCTCCATAGCTAGCATAAGCTGAAGAAAACAAAACAAACTTCATTGCCTTTGTGTAAAACGTCCATACATATTTATAGACTCTAAACTCATAATAATCCTAGGAGTTAAATTGTTCGACTCATAATAGTCTTAGGGGTCAAACTATTAGACTCAATAATCCTAGTAGGATTCAAACTAAGGTGTCATATCCTATTTCAATTCAAAAACGACTCAATAACTCTAATCCTACTTATACAATGACTCTGAAATTTTAAACATAAACCAACTATAACTACACAAACTAAACCCTATCATTCGGCCCCACAAAAAATTGCAAAATGATGAAAATACCCCCACTGTCCAAAAATACAGAAATACATAGAATTTCATAAAATTCCAATTTTGCCTCTTCAGCTCCTGCATCAGGTGGAGTCCCGATCTTGTAGACATAGGAATGCAAGATGTTTAACCTTACATTAGCTACCTGAAGTAATGCAATTGGGAGAGAAATAAGCAGACTGAAAGTTTCTCATGCTAGAATTGTTGTGTGCTTGGATATGTTCTATATGTTGCTAATTCAATGGCATGTGCATTTGCACGTACGAGGAGAGAGAAAAATAAATTGACTAAAGGAGATGTGTGTCAAATATTAACCTTATGCTATAAAATAATCTGGTTTAACTTTTATGGCCTTGCACAGAACCCAAAGGCAAGTATCCACATTATATAGAAATGCCTGTTTTTATTTCTACATTTTTACTTTGAATATGAATTCATTTTAATTTGTTATGTTTATGTGTTTTAATTTGAGCCAATTGTTTTTTTAAACATTTAATTTCTTTTAGGTGATGTTTGGCATCGATAATGATTTCTCATACCTGATTTTTCAAAAATCACCATTTTTGGTTATTTGGTATCATTTCCTCCATGTCAGCTGATTTTTGGGAAATCACCTTTGAGAATGTTTGGTATTGATTATAAAGAGTGATTATTTTTCATTGAAATTATTATTCCATGTACTGTACTACCATTATTTCTTGTGAAATCATCCTTGCCATGTAGGATGCCACATCACCCCACAAAAATCAGAATCGCCTGAAAATCGGGGAATCACTGTAAGTGGTGATCCCTCACTCAGGGCCAATTTCAGGGATCGATTTTCTACCGATTTCCCAGAAATCGGCACAATCAACAGTAGTCGATCAAGACTACAATCAGTCTTGAATCTAAAAGTAAAAAGGTTTCAGATGGAGAAAAGAAGAAGAAGAAAGAAGAAGAAAAGAAGGAGAAGCAGAAGTACACAAGGGTTTTAGAAAAGGCAGAATTGCCCTTAATGCTTTACATGGCAAATAAACTAATAATAAGCTGAAATAACAAGCTGTCTGAAATAACTACCAACTAACACTGACATAACTAACAAAGAGTACATGCTGTGCTGTCATATGAACACAGTGGGGACCACAGCCGTGGGGCCCACATCAGTGTTCTCTACATCAACCAACCAAACAGGAAAAAAAAATCACTGATTCTTCAAATGCTTATGTGGATTCGATGTGGCACCGATTCTTGGGAAATTGGCATCTATGCCAAACATCTCCTTAAAGTTCAAGTTTGTGTTTTTTTAACTAATATTATTTTTTATTTTGTTTTGAAAAATTTTGTGCCTTGCTTCAAAAAGGTGTGTGCCTCAGGGACAAAAGCCCCTTGTGCTTTTAAAACACTGAGTTGACTGCAGTCTAAGAATTTTGAACTTTCTTAATATGATATATTTAACATGCAGAACTGCTGGGCTTTCTTTTGGCCTGCTGGACTTGTTTCTTTCCTCACTTCTCATGTTGTTTGCCAGGTATCAGGTCCAGTCGTGGTTGCAGATGGAATGGCAGGGGCTGCTATGTATGAACTTGTTCGTGTTGGTCATGACAACCTTATTGGAGAAATTATTAGATTGGAAGGAGATTCTGCTACAATCCAAGGTCCTTTTAATAGATCTTTCCTATGTTTATTGTGTGTGTGTGTGTGTGCACGCATGCTTATCATTGTGCAAGTCCTAAAATATTTCTGTCCAGATTCTTATTCTGTTCTTTCATGTGGCATTTAGTTAAAGCAAAAACTGTTTTCTTTTGTATTTCAGTGTATGAAGAAACAGCTGGGTTGATGGTGAATGACCCTGTTCTACGAACACACAAGGTACATCTGAAGGCTGCTCTATGCTCAATTGTCAGTAATTGACTATACTAACTGGTTCTTTTTGCAAATTGTGCATTGCTCTTGCAGCCTCTTTCAGTGGAGCTGGGGCCTGGCATTTTGGGAAACATTTTTGATGGTATTCAGGTTTGTTTAAAATCTAGTTGACAGTATAGAATTATTTGTAATGATAAAAGCATCACCTTTTAGATCTACCTGTTCATTTCTTTATCATTTTCTTATTTTAACATGGACCATTTTTCACATGAGCAGTTGGGCATTTTCTTGTTAGTATTACAAGTTATCATAAAACAGGATCTTATACTTGGCTGTTGTCCTTGTTTATTTAGAGGCCTTTGAAAACCATTGCCAAAAGATCTGGTGATGTGTATATTCCACGTGGTGTCTCCGTACCAGCTCTGGACAAAGATGTACTTTGGGAGTTCCAACCAAAAAAATTAGGTAATATTTTTCTAAAGTGCCATCTATTCTTAGCATGATGGCTTAGTGGGTTTGGATGCTTGATACTGAGTAGTCAACTTTCTTCTACTGGTTGCAGGTGAGGGAGATCTTCTAACTGGTGGAGACTTATATGCTGTAAGTTTAATAGCTGCAAATTTATTTTGTAAAAGTTCAATGGTGCCTTTTGAGAAAGATTTTGGCACTCAACTCTTCCTATTTTGTTCCTGTATTGTGTTTCACTGAAGTATATACACGGATTGCATTATATTGCAGACTGTCTTTGAGAACAGTTTGATGCAGCACCATGTTGCACTTCCTCCTGATGCTATGGGAAAGATCACTTACATTGCACCAGCTGGTCAATACTCACTAAAGGTTTGTCTGTGACGTAGTTTCTTTTACTTTTCTAGTTAGCCTTATGTATCATTCATCATTGTCTTGTTTCTTAATAGTTAAGGTTCTCTCAAGATGTTGGGCATTGGGATTATAATTGGTATTGATTTTTTTTGGTATGAGTATTGGAGTTGAATTGTACTAGATCTAAGCTTTGGGATCTATGTTAGCATTATTATCTAAATCAAGGTTCAAAATATTGATATGCTTGATACGCCGGTAGAGGCATATTGGGCAGTATCGATAGTTTTTTTTAAGTTTTTTTTTTTTTTTTCAAATCCGGTTCAGAGAGGCCGGTTTGAGGTCCGTCCACCCCCTGAATCGGTCGAAATCCCAAAACACCCCTGGAGGGGCATATCGGGAAACCCCCGATACGTATCGAAATTTTGAACCTTGCCCGATACGTATCGAAATTTTGAACCTTGATCTAAATGGTTGTTTCTGCTCCTCTTTCATATTTTGGAACTTGGGATTTTTTGTGGAAGATGTAGTATTTTGGCTAATACATACAAAAGGATGCTTGGTACTATGCCATTCTTTTTAATATATTAATTAAATTTCATAATTATCCATAAAAAAGTCTGTGCAAGAGGTAGTATCCTGGTTAGTGCCCTTCATATGGAGATGTTGAAGTGTATATAAACCAGAAAGTTGTGTTCATGAAAGGGGTATAAACGGATCAAATTCGAATTGGATGAGGCAATATCCGAATTCGAATCCAATTAGAAAATCCGATATCTGAATTCGATTCGATATCCGTCGGATATTGAAAATTAATATCCGAATTTGAATCCGATTAAATATTCGAATATCCGATTCGATTAATTAATTATTTTAGATAATTCATAAATATATAAAATAAATATTTTATTGATATAAAGTATATAAATATATAAATTATTTATATATATTTAATTATTATATATAAATTATATAAAATATTTTATATATTATATAAGAATTAAATAATCGGTCGAATTCGGATATTTATTGAGTCGAATCTGGTCATATCTGAATTTGAATCCGATTAACTATTTGGTAAGAATAGGATATCCGAATTTGACCGATTAGATATTTGAATTATCCGAATTCGATTCGATTACGTCGAATATCGAATTCGAAATCGGATTTTCGAATACCATTGACACCCCTAGTTCATGATTAATCAGAAAGTGGGTTTGGAATTACTAGTTTGTTTTGTGTTCAAATGCTAAGTAGACCTTCCTCCCAAATGACTACACAGCTATAATACCCAATTATTCAGCATCTCCCGAGCCTTGACCAGACCCCTCTTTACTTCTTAACAGCTCTTTTTTTTTTTCTCACCTTTTTAATAGGCTCCTTGAATAAACCCCCCTTCAATCTGGAAAGAGTTTTACACCTGGACAGTTTGCTGGCTCCTCTGCCTTTTGAATCTTCTTGCTGCATTAGGGATTTTCTCAAAATTTGGTGAGTCCTTACTCCTTAGAATTATGAATGATTCTTTCTAGCTCCAACTCCAAGACCACATTCTTCTTAAAAGCCTGATCTGCGCCAACTTACCGTCCTCGTTGACATCATTCCTTGCACCTTTGGGAGGTGTTGCTTCATATTGATCATCTTTAATTCTTACAGCAGAGCTTATCACCTTAGGATCCAAATTATCTTCCTCCCTTTCCATCAAAGGCATAGGATACTTCTCTTCCAATTCTTGAACTTTCTCCTTGCAACTTCCTCCCCTCCGATAACGAACAACCCCAGAGATTTACTCACCTCCACTTCTATGTCAACTTCATCTTCATATCCTAACTCTTCATCATCTGTTACTGGCTTTGTTCTGTATTTCTTTTTTTCTCATACATTTTTGCCACTCTCGAGTCTCACCCTGTTCACCCGTTATTCTCAGGCTCCTCTTCACCTTCTGGTTTGTCCACCCTGCTCTCCTTTCTTGCTTCTTCTTTATCTACAAAACTCCCATCTCCTTCATTCTCCAGATCCATATTCGATATGCCTATATCAATCCTAACCTCTTCTTCCCATTTAACAAGATTTTCCTCCACTGGATCTTCAGGCACTGCTGGACCTTCATGCACTGAGTCTGCCGTACTGTTTGTAGCGTATCTTTCCATTTGAAGTGTTTGTAGGCTATATTCCTACCTACTCAAGTTTCATTATTTATTATTGCAATTTGTTCCCCAATTTAACCACTCCCCAAAATAGCTTCTCCCAGTAGGTTCCTTGTCTGGCTAAAGCATCAGCCATACTATTGGTGCTTCTAGGTGTCCAATGAAACGTAGCTTTCAATTCTTCTGCTAGCTTTTTAACTTCTCAAATAACATATCTATATTTTGATGTGCCTTTGTATTACATCTGAACCATCCTACAACTTCTTAGAGTCAGCTTCCACTATGATATCTCTATGAAGAAATACTTGGTTAGCCACGAGTGTGGGGTTCCATACCCACACTCAGGCTCTAGTGTGTGTGGTTCCGTACCCACACTCAGGCTCTAGTGTGTGTGGGTGGTTCCATACCCACACCTAGTTGTTTCTAAATTCTTTTAAGTTGGGCCGGCTGGCCTTATCCATGCTATGTTTATCCTTTTTCTTTTTTGTTTTATTAGGACTAGGACTTTACGTTTATTTCCTATTCTTGTAAGGAACCTAAAGCTATAAATAAAGGAGTGTATGGGGCGGCAGATATATCAATCACCGAACCCCTTTCTTTTCTCTTATTCTCTCTTCTCTTCTTCTTCTTCTCATCTACTCTTCTTTTCTCTTCTTCTTCTTCTCATCTACTCTTCTTTTCTCTTCTTCTCTTTTCTGAATTACAGTAGAATAGAAATCTACTTGCTTTATTCAAGTTGGTATTAGAGCTTGGGAGGTGAAAGAAACTAGGTTTTTCATGTAAGCCCGATCTGGTCAGCTACATGAGAAACCATTAGATCAAGACCTCTGCAGAAGTTGCCTGGTTCTTGGAGGTTACTGGAGTGCTGAAGACTGCCCAAGAAAGGTTCTTGGAGAATTAGCCAGTGACCAGGAAGAATCAGAGATCAGACTCGATCAAGGTTAGGGTTTCAAACCTAAGAAGACAATCAGAATTCTTTTTCTGAGAAAGAATTCAGATTCGATCAGAGTTCTTTATCTGAAGTTGGACGATCAGAGTTCCTTTTCTGAGGTGGACATCATGGTTCAGACCAAAGAGTTCTTTTTCTGAGAAAGGTACAATCTTTAAGCTAATTCGACCTTAGATAGAAGTTATCAAGAATTCTTTTTACAGCAGCATAATAAATCTGAGAATATTTTGATTGTTTTGAGAATACCTTGCTGTCGACTCCTTGGCATTAAACCCTTCGATCCCTTTTTTGAGGAATCAGGACCTGTTCTTTACTGATATTAATCTAGGGCTCTGATTTTACTAAAGTTACAGTTTTGAGAGAAAACCGTCGGTTGAAATCAGGAAATGTTCTTTACTGATATTAATCTAGGGCTCTGTCTTTTACTAAAGTTACAGTTTTGAGAGAAAACTGTTGGCTGAAATTAAGCTCTAGGTGCCTATTCTTGCTGAAGATCAACTTCTGGATTGCTTTTCTGTTCCTATCTTAGTGTTTCAGCAAAAAAAAAAAAAAGGAGGGACTTTTCTTCTTAGTTTTGTGACCCATTTTCAATAAGGGGAGGTTATTGGAACTAGTAATATGACTGAAAATACGTTCCAAATTACCACTGCTAGGTTTGATGCAAAAAATTACTTGGAATGGGTCCAATCGGCAATGATGGCCATTGGGGGCAGAGGAAAATTAGGGTATGTAACCGGAGACACAAAAGAACCAGCCAAGGAGGATATATCTCACCCAAGATGGGTTCAAGAGAACTACTTGGTGATGACCTGGCTATGCAACTCTATACAGCCCCACATCACCCGAAATTATCTATGGGCTAAAACAGCCAAGGAGATTTGGGACAGCATTAAGGATACCTATTCCCAACCCCTCAGTGTTGCTAGAGCTTATGAGATAAAATGTGAGGTGAAAAGCCTCAAGCAAGGAGAGAGGCCAGTCTCAGTATATTTTTCTATCCTAAAATCCCTTTGGCATGAGATTGATCACTTAGAAACCATTGAATGGGAAAGCTAAAAGGATGCAGCAACATATAGAAAACTGCTTGAAACAAATAGGGTTTTCGAGTTCTTAGCCGGCCTAAACTCAGATTTTGACATTACAAGACAACAATTTCTCACTAGGGAGAGTGTGACCCTATCTCAGGCCTACTCCTTAGTCCACAATGAAGAGAGTAGGAGGAAGGTAATGCTATCCTTCCAGCCCACAGAAGCAGCCTTGGCAGCAACAAAATTCAAAACTGGAGGAGAAAAGGAAAAAGAAGTTAAGAAGGAAGACAAAAAGGATATTTTTTGTCATCATGGGGTCATTCATCAGAGCACCTATCCTCACACACCTTAGTAAAACGAGGTTGTTGGGAGAAAAAACAGGCATATCTTAGAGGTAGCCAGAAGCATCATGCTCAACTCCAATGTTCCCATACGCTTCTGGGGGGATGCAATCCGTACAACTGCGTACCTCATAACAGGGTTCCTTCACGGGTCCTAAACATGCAAACCCCGTTCAGTCTTCTATATCCAGATAAGGACCTATTCACATTTCCCCTCAAAACTTTTGGGTGTACTTGTTTTGTTCAAATCCTTGGACCTCATCGCTCCAAGTTTGATCCCAAAGCTACTAAGTGTATTTTCCCTTGGTATGCACAAAATTAAAAGGGATATTGCTGTTATGAGCCAGTTTCAGGGAAACGCTTTGTGTCCATGGATGTCACCTTCTTTGAGGATATGCCCTACTCTCATAAGGCTTCTCCTTAGGGGGAGAATAGTGAGGAAGGGATTTCAGTTTCAGCCCCAAAGGTTCCTTTACCTGTCCTAGTTACTGGGGGGGGGGGGAGTTGTGAGGAAGGTTGTCAAAAATGCAGAGAGTTTAGAGTGTGTATCATAGAAAGTGGTGGAAGCAGGTTGATTCTCGTACTCAACAGCAATCCAGGCCAATTCCAACATCTTCCACAGCCCCCGATCCAGACACTACTACTGCTCCCATTGTTGATCCCACTGTCCCACTGTTATAGATGCTTAGCCTTCACCGACAGATGACCTTGATCTTCCAATTGCTATTCGTAAAGGGAAGCGCCGTTGCACCTCATCCACTGCCCATTGCATCTCCAAGTTCCTTTCCTATAATTGTCTCTCAGAATCCTACAGATCTTACTTGGCATCTATTTCTGCTATTCCTATACCTAGAAATGTGCAAGAAGCTCTTTTGATACCTGAATGGAAGGAAGCAATGCAAGTAGAGATGGATGCTCTTGTCAAGAACAACACATGAGAACTAGTTAACCAGTCTAAAGGGAAGAAACCTGTTGGATGCAGATGGGTGTTTACTATGAAATATAATGTTGATGGTACTGTAGAGAGGTATAAGGCCAGATTGGTTGCAAAAATGAACACTATCAGAGTTCTTCTATCCATTGCTGCAAACTTGTCATGGCCACTATTTCAGCTGGATGTTTAAAATGCCTTCCTCAACGGAGACTTGCAAGAGGAAGTATACATGGAGTTACCCCCTGGCTTTTATAGTACAAAAGCAGGAAAGAAAGTTTTCCCTTTGAAGAAGGCCTTGTACGGGCTGAAACAATCTCCAAAAGCTTGGTTTGATAGGTTTAGACTGGCTTTGGACAAATTCGGATACATACAGGCTCAGTCAGATCACACTCTCTTCTTTAAGAAGATAGGTCTTTCCCTGACTCTACTTACAGTCTATGTAGATGACATTGTGATAACAGGAAGTGACACTAGTGAAATTGAAACCCTTAAACAACACCTTCACAAGGAATTTGAAGTGAAAGACCTAGGAAAGCTACGCTATTTTCTAGGAATTGAGGTAGCTCGATTTAAGCATGGCATTTTCATCTCCCAAAGGAAGTATGTTTTGGACTTATTGGAAGAAACTAGCAAGTTAGGAGTGAAACCTACTGATACTCTCCTTGATCCCAACCAAAGGCTGGTTGGGAAACTTCTTTATCTCTGCCTAACTCGACCAGATATTTCTTATGCTGTTAGTGTTGTCAGTCAATACATACATTCTCTTAGGATCACCCACCTCCTTGCAGTAAAAAGGATTCTTGCCTACTTAAAGAGATGTCCAGGGAGAGGTATACTCTTCAAGAATAATGGTCATACGAAAATAGAAGTGTATACAGATGCAGATTGGGTTGGATGTGTTGATGACAGGAGGTCCACCTCTGGATATTGTGCATTTGTGGGGGGAAATCTTGTTTCTTGGAGAAGCAAGAAACAAAATGTTGTTCCTCACTCCAGTGTAGAAGCAGAATACAGATCCATGGCCAATGGTGTTTCAGAAGTGTTATGGCCGAGATCCTTGCTTAATGAGTTAGAGGTTGATTATGAGAAGCCTCTGATGCTGTATTGCGATAATCAAGCTGCAATTAATATTGCCCACAACCCAATACAGCATGACGGGACTAAGCATATCGAGGTTGGTAGTCATTTTATCTGAGAGCGAGTCGCATCTCAAGAAGTATGCCTTCCTTACATTGCCTCAGACATGCTGTTAGCTGATCTCTTCACCAAAGCAGTCACAAAAATCAAACTGGAGATAGATCTACGCAAGTTGGGCATGACAAATATCTACTCCCAACTTGAGGGGGAGTGAAGAAATAGTTGGTTAGCCACGAGTGTGGGGTTCCATACCCACACTCAGGCTCTAGTGTGTGTGGTTCCATACCCATACCTAGTTGTTTCTAAATTCTTTTAAGTTGGGCCGGCTGGCCTTATCCATGTTATGTTTATCCTTTTTCTTTTTTGTTTACAAATGAGATTTTTGCTCAGTATTAAACCATGTAGGACTCCCAAGAGTTCTGCCCTTGTAGAATCTCCACAACTGGCTGGACCTGAATACATATTGTATGTCTACATTTCTTTGGGTTGCCCAGGCTCCAACTATCAAAATTCATCTTTATGGAAGAATGACTATGGGGTATCCATGCAATGGCTACTTTTGCTCTTGGTGTTGAATATGCAGCAATAGCTTTCCAATTCTGATTGATGCCATCGGTTGTAAAAAGAGCAAAACTTGGCAAGGTTCTCAACTCAATCTGCCACCCTCACCATAACATTCTCAATAGTGCTTCTTTGGTTTGAGCCATGTCTTCAAATACTCTTGTGTTTCTTTCCTCTCACACTGTCCACAAAATAGCTGCTTTTGTGCATCTTCAAAGTAGTTTCTCCTTTTCTTTGATGGGAAGAAGCAGCATGACTGAAACAGACTACCCACACTTGTTGGGAGGGTGCACTTGTGTGAAAATAATGCAAAGAAAAATCCCAAATGCCAATTTACAAATGGACAGAAGATTAGTACGTGCAAGGTAGTCTCACAACTTGCTCTGAGAAGGGCACATATATTATGTAAGATATACCAGTTTGGCTTTTTCTTTTGTAGATGCTCACTGGTGTTTATTTTCTTATGCATTAATTTTAGGTGGGATGGGTCTGCTCCAAATGGCCTTAGCAGGGAAGGAATATGGTTAAGGAAAGTGACTTAAAGAAGGAGCCACATGAACTTGAGGTTCCAAGATAGACCAAGAGCAGATGGAAGAAATACAATTAGAGACTACAACATCTTTATTAACAGACAAGGAATGGCACTGAAATCCATCTTTGAATGGCTGATCCTGCACCACAAGTCTGACCAAAATGTAATTTTATTCCCATCAAGAACCTTGTAATGAGTATGATGAAGGAATAAGTTGGAAACGAGTCCTTTTGATGAACCATATATCTCTTAAGATTCAAATACCCAAGTGTATCAGATCAAATAAGAGACCACTAATGTGGTGATTTAAAAGAGAAAGGTCTAATAATAGGACATAAAAACAGGAAGTAGAGATTTCATAGAACAAAAAAACCAATCTATTTCATGCTTAGTTTTTCAACCAAAAATTCAATCTTTAATTTGAAAAATCAGGGGACATCCAGTTCAGATGCCTACTCCTAACAAATTGGGTTCATTTAAAAATGGTGTATTACAAATCATGAACCCAAATGTGAACCAAGAAAACTAGGTAACTATGATCTGACTTTGTGCACAGGCCTCATTTTGAGTAATTTATAGTTTGACTATTTAGTGTCCACTCTATATATTTTTATTCAGTATACCAGTGTTATTTTGTTCAGCAATGTTTTGATCCATTCTGCATATGCAGGATACTGTTCTGGAGCTTGAATTTCAAGGTGTAAAAAAGAAGTTTACTATGCTTCAGGTTATTAACTTCAACTCCAGACATCAAGTTAGATATCATATACTTCATCCTTGCATTCTGAAATGGTGCACATTCCTCTTAATGGGTTTTTCTCTTCTCCTCTGCAGACCTGGCCAGTCCGTTCACCACGACCTGTTGCAACTAAACTTGCTGCTGATACACCTCTTCTGACTGGGCAGGTAACTACATTATCTCATGACTCATGTCGTGATCTGACTGTGTCATTTTAAGACTTTGGTGTTCCTAATGGTTTTGTTGCTTACCTTGCATAGCGTGTTCTTGATGCCCTTTTTCCCTCTGTTCTTGGAGGGACTTGTGCTATACCTGGAGCATTTGGTTGTGGAAAAACAGTCATTAGTCAAGCTCTTTCCAAGGTGGATTTATTATTCTTTCTAAAGTTCCCTTTGGCATTTTGGATATTTGAAACTTTTTTTTTTGTTCATGGAGTTCTCATGCATGTATTTATTGTTTGTTTACTTGCAGTACTCCAATTCTGACACTGTGGTTTATGTTGGATGTGGAGAAAGAGGAAATGAAATGGCGGAGGTATCTATTATTTTATTTTCCTATCAGTTATTTATATAAACAATTTATTGCCTTCAAAATTCTAAAAGTTAGTATACTTTTTAGGTTCTCATGGATTTTCCTCAACTGACAATGACACTACCTGATGGCCGTGAAGAATCTGTCATGAAACGTACAACACTTGTGGCTAACACTTCTAACATGCCTGTGGCTGCTCGTGAAGCCTCCATTTACACAGGTTAGTCCTTTTAAGTATTTTGATATTCAATTGATATTGGATGAATTTTCCTACTAACCTCAATTTTGTTCTTCGGCATTTAAAGATCTTAGTGCTTTCATTTCATGTTCAAATTTTGAATGTAAATGAAATTCTTTCTTTGAGATTGATTGAACTTTTAAATTCATGGGCATGTAATATTATACCTGAATGGTAACACCAAATGGATTTTGGAAGGAGATGGTAACACCAAGTTCTTTAACTCTGTGGGAAATGGTAGAAGAAAGAAAACTACGATTCATAGGGTGCTGGTTGATGGTCAAGAATTAAGAGAGAGCAAAGAAATAGTAAGGATATTTGTGAATCACTTTAAATCAATCTTTTCAGAATCCACGGGGAATAATCTGGGTCTACCGGAGCTGGAATGGAGAAGATTATCTGAGGTGCAAGCACGGGAACTGGAAAGAAGATTCTCTCTAGAAGAAGTTAAATACGCAATTTTTTGCAATGGATAGGCTCAAAGCCCCAAGCCTAGATGGTTTCTTAATGGCTTTCTACCAAGAGTGTTGGGATTTCATCAAATTGGAGTTGTTGGAAGTGTTTCATGAATTCTATCTAGAAGGGAAGGTCCCCTTTGGAGTAAATGCCACCTTTATCTCCTTAATTCACGAAAGGAAAGAGGCTTTTTCTCCAAAGGACTTTAAGCCAATAAATTTGATAGGGAGTCTTTACAAGATCATCTCAAAGGTTTTGGCTGAAAGGATCAAGAAGGCCCTGCTCACTAATTTCACCGTTCCAAGGGGCTTTTGTTGAAGGCCCTGCTCACTAATTTTACCCTTGATTTTAAGCTCTACTCGGTTTGATTTGGAAAGGTGATAAAATTCGGTTCTGGGAAGACCTTTGGGTTGGGGAAGCTCCATTAAAAAACCAGTTCCCTAACCTTTTTGCTCTCTCTAACCTTAAGGATGTTCCTGTATCCTTTTTGTGCACTTCTTCTCCCTTGGGCCTCAACTGGGATCTGGGATTTAGAAGAGGTTTAAGAGAGAGTGAGTGTGCATCTTTGATTAACCTTCTTAATATCCTAGAGAATACTTTTTTGGACCTGCTTTCGGATGATTCTAGAATTTGGGTTCCCTCACCGAATGGACTTTTCACTTGCGCCTCTTTTTTCAAATCCCTAACTTTTCCTACTTCACAAGGGGTGGACTTCCCGGTGAAAGAAGTGTGGTCTAAGCCTATACCACCTAAGGTTCAAGCTTTTTGTTGGGAATCTTTCCTTGGAAAGCTTGACACTTGTGACGTGTTACAGAAGTCCCTTTGTCTCTATTATTTGGGAGTTTTTCAGTGATCTTTTCCGCTGCAGGTGGATCCCTCCCCAAGAGGTGGCGGGCATTTTCAGGTCTAACTTCTTAAGGCAATCAAAGAAAATAGGAAGACTGATGTGGAAAGTCACTAAGGCTGCAACTGTGTGGGTGGCCTGGGAGGAAAGGAACAACAGAATTTTCAATGGCAAAAATAGATCCGTGGAGGAGGTTGTTGAGGCAATAAAAGTGAAGGTTGCCTTCTAGATTAAAATATGGAATGCTTTCAGGATTTCACAGTGACTGATATTCTAAGAGCTTGGAAGGAGATAGCACATTCCTCTAGAAACAAAGACAACATAGTAATGGACTGGAAACCCTTGAAACCCTTACAAGGTAGCAAAGTTAAACTGAATTTTGATGGAAGGTCGATGGGCAATCCTGGCCTGGAAGGAATTGGTGGGGCAATTAGAAATTTGGAGGGCAGATTGCTGGCCCTTTATTTTGGGCCAATTGGTGTGTCTAACTCGATTAAAGCTGAATTATTTGCCTTACTTCAAGGTCTCAGGATCAATGTTCTAAAAATCGTAATCTTATTGTAGTTCGTAAAGAGGTTTAAATCGAATCCTATCATGAACCGTATCGTAAATCGTAAGATTTTTTTTTCTGATTTTTCTAAAAATTGTCAGAATACTATAAAAATACCTAAACCCCTTAAAAATTATGAAAATGAATGACTTTGTACTAATTTTTAGCCTATAGACATAACATAAATAGGTAGTAGTAGTAGTAGTACTATAGTAGTAGACTGGTAGTGAGTCTGACGATTAAACCACTTTCATAAATCGTAATTCAATAGATGCCATGGGTATGATCAAGTTCAACTTCAATTTTAAGCAATAAAAAATTATATCCATAATTTTATTGCAATTTGATATGATCATATAATTTATAAATATGAGCCTTACATGACATCGTGTTCATGTTCATATCTTTCAAGTTTCAATAAGTTAAGTCAAATCATCAATACAAGAATACAATGGTGAAACAATGCAATTAAAGAAATTAAATTCTGAAGTCTAATAATTTTTTTTGGTAATTAATACCGTTGCATAATTGGACATAACTCATAAGCACATCCATTGACACAAACAACTAAACAATCAAAGAGATGCTATGTGGACAAGTATAATAAATTACAAATCTAGCCAAATCATAAGCCTAACCATATCCACTAAATCAACATAAATAAAGACTTATACACTGAAACTAACAAAGAAATCCTCACTGATCAATAAGCAATATAGAGTTCTTCAGTGTTCAGCAAAGATGCCCTATTCTGTTGTTGCCTCCAACCATTTATAAACAAAAGGACACCTAACAAGAAGGACAACTAACTTAAAAATTAAAATATGACACATAAAATAAATGAAAAGTCTTATGAAATAATGTAAATATAAAATGGGTCAAAAATAGGATGGAAAATGGGGGTGAGCCTTTGTTTTGCATCAGAAAAAGAGAAAAGTATAAGGGGTTTAAGTCCCTGTGTTTGTTTACAAAAGAAAAAGGAAAAAAATGAAGCAAAAAAAGAGGAAAATGCAATTGGGGGGAGCCCCTGTTTTCATTGCAAAAAATTCATGCAAGAACAGAATAGAAGAAATGTTTTGTGTCAAAATAAGAAGGGTTGGACCTTACCCCTTTCATCTACAACGAAAAAAACAACAGAAATCAGAAAAAAAGGAAAAAGAAAAACCCTTACCTTCCATGCAAAAAAACCAGAAGAGTGAAAGAAATGGGGCAGAGCCCCTGTTTTGCGTCAAAAGAAAGAAAGAAAGAAAGAAATGGGGCGGGGCCCCTGTCTTGTCTCAAAAGAAGAAGAAAGAAAGAAAGAAATAGGGTGGAACCCCTATTTTGAGACAAGGGGATGAGGGTTGGAGCTTCAATGGAGGGTTTCGTCTCTTCCAGTCTCCTGCCCAAGAATGTCCTTTGATAGTAGTAAGCCTCTTTTGATTGATTAAAGAGGCTATTTAAGTTAATAAAAAACAAAATAACAATGCTGCCCCTTGATGTAAATGTGTAGATTTTAAAAAAGTGGAGGACTAAATGGTCTTTTATCTTAAATTATGTTTTGGTTCTAATCGTTTAAATCGGTTCTGAATTGCGATTTACGATTTGATACAACAATTTTGAACATAAATCACACAATTAATTTAAAAAACGACTAGGACATATACGATTTGAATCATTTTGGGGCTGATTCGATATGAATCATACGATTCAAATCATGAATTGCACGATTTTAAAAACACTGCTTAGGATTGCTAAGCAGTTGGGCCTCAGACAAGTGGAGTTGGAAGGGGACTCCAAAGTTATCATCTCTTGGGCAAAAACTAATAGACATATTCCATGGACTCTCAAGAATGCTTTCAAGGAAATAGAAAGGGCAGCAAGAGAGCTGAATGCTGAATTCAAGTGGGTTAGAAGAAGCGCAAATGTGCTAGCTGATTCCCTTGCCAAACAAGGGATAAATAGTCAGCATCTGTTTTGGGCATCTTTGTAATATAGTGTTGGTTATTAGGCTGATGTTGTAGTCTTTATTTAAGCTTGTAATGCTTTTTCACTTATTTTAATTTAATATATCATAAGTTTCATCGATCAAAAAATATATATGATACCTTGTACAAAGGTGTTGTATTGTGTTGGTAGTTGGTACTTCAATTTTCAGTGTAAATTTCTTATCTGAAACCTTGTCCTGCCGTGTCCTCGCAGTATCTGAGTAGTATAGGCATGGAAAGCTTTTACTGATGCCATCTATTTTGAATATTGGAAAATATGTTTTGTTTTTGTTTTTTGCATAATGAGAGGGTACAATGACAAGGTGGAACTTTTTAGGGGTTGAGTACTTCAATGTTTTTTTTCTTCCCAGCTAGCAGGGGTTTGAGACAAGGTGACCCCATGTCACCTTTCCTATTCACTTTAGTTGCTGATGCTTTTAGTAGATTTCTCTTAGAAGCGGATAGGGCCAGATCCTTATGAGGGTGGAGAATAGGTAGAGATAGAGTTTCAGTAACCCATCTTCAATTTGCAAATGACATGATAATCTTTTGTGAAGGTTGTGATTTGGTGGAGGTAAGAAATCTGAAGATTTGATAACTCACTTTGAGAAGGCCTCAAATTTGAAGATAAATTTTGAGAAAACTTGTGTTGTGGGAATAAATTTGATTACAGAGGAGGTGGAGTCTATAGCAGCCTCGTTAGATTGCACATGGTCTCAGTGTCCTCTATCCTACCTAGGACTTCCCTTAGGCACAAATCCAAAGGAAAGTAGGTTCTGGAACCCGGTGGTGGAAATGTTCGAAAAAAGATTGACAGCTTGGAAGAGAAACTATATTTCCCTAGGGGGTAGAGTTACTTTGATTAAAGCAACTTTAGCCAACTTGCCTTTATACTTCCTGTCAGTCTTTAGAATTCCTAAAAGGGAGGCAAAGAGGTTGGAAAAACTGATGAGGGACTTCTTATGGGAACCTGGGGAAGAGAAAAAAGATCACTTGATTAGGTTGGAGGTGGTGAGTAGAAGCAAAAATGAAGGAGGCCTAGGCTTAGGGAATGTGGCGAGTAAGAACGAAGCTCTTTTAGGTATGCGGCTTTGGAGGTGGCCCTTGGAGAGGGAGAGGTTGTGGCATGAAGTAGTGAAGAGTATCCATGGCTGTTCTAAATCTG